TATCTCTTTAGTAGGACATCAACATCTAATCATCTATACCCTGTCTTTTTTTAAAAAGAATAGAGAGGCCTTCAAATGCAAAATTTAGAAAATAAGTTTTGAATCAAATCTCTTAATATTATTTTTGTCACCTATCATCATTTCAAGTGTTTTAAGTTTAATGTAAGTAATGATTAAGACAAATAATTTTTTTTTTTTACATTTACGCTATCATATAGCCAATTATACTATGGCACGTGCATTGCACGTGCGTCTTACTAGTTATGAAAAATAAGCCAATCCCAAGAGCTAAATTATGAAGACATTATTTAAATGAATACGTGGGTATCTTGTTAAGACAACAAAGAATTGGATGGCTTACATGTGAGATTTCACGTTAATGGCTATCTCAATGTTAGTGTTGAATCTCTGGTGTTAGTTAGTGGGTCATTACAGAATATTATATGAGGATCATCATTTTTTAATGGATTATGCTTTTTATCATTATAATGACGAAATATAAATGATATGATAACTTGTCTTGAATAATGAGATATGACGGTTCATTTTAATGAGAGATAGTGGGGGTGACTCAACTGTTTAATCTCATTATTCCACCAAAATGGTCACATTATTGATATTCTATCATTATAATGATAAATAACATTATTCCATTTTAATTGTCTTGGATGTGCCTCCAGCCTCATTAAGGATCGTTAATATGGTGCTATTCGGATATTGTAAAAAACATATGAAGGTTAGTAATAATCGATCAACACATGTTTAACACTCTTAAATAGTAATAGATTATCACGCCTTTCGTCCACGGTCCACTCAAGTTGATATAGAAATTACTTGGCCAATGTGGAATTTCAAGTTGACAATATAAGTTGTTGAACCAACATAAGTCTGTGATGAATATTTTGATGGAAGGCAAGCCAATATTTTGGTTTGTCATTCCACGTGAAATCTCCCGTCACAATTCACACATATATTTTTTCGACGGATTTTGCTACATGTAAATCAAGATTTATATAATAGATTACATAATGTCACGTGATACTTTACCATTTGTCAGTTTAAAATACAATCAACATTTTTATTCAATCTTTTCCATTCACATCATATTATGTAATTCATTATGTACTTTTTTTTTTTTAATTTGCAACTAGCAAACACATGGTTTTGGATTACAATTGCTCCTTGGAAAATTGTCTTCTATTTATAGACTGTAAGGACTATGGACACCACATATCTCCATATTAGTATAATATTGTCCACTTTGTGCCTAAGCCTTTGTGGATTTGCTTTTGAGCTTTTACCCCAAAAGGCCTCATACCAATGGAGATATTTGTCTATCCTTATAAACCCATAATCCTCTCAACTTCTAACAAATGTGAGACTTTGGTCGTATACCCAACAATTCTCCACTCGAACAAAGGATCACCCGGCCTCCCCTCAAATGATCATTCATCTGTCCACTCTCTACCAACCAGAATTCTCCATTCCAATGCGTTGGAGGCACACGCCTTACATGGAATACCACCTGTCCCGAGAGCTTGTTCTATCCAGATCAACTCCTCTTCACCGTATTGGGATCAGGACACGTCCATGAAGCATCTGTAGCACACCGCCTGTCCAATAGAGCTCATCTTGAAGCATATGAAGGAGAAACTTTACCTACCAATTGCAATTTTCGAGTTGGTTGACCAATGGAGCTGACT